CTCTAACAAAAACCTTACAATTAACATTAACCCTAACCCTAACCCCTAACCCTAACCCTAATGACTCTAAACCTAACAATAACCCTAAACCTAACCCGAAACCTAAACCTAACCCTAACCTAAACCTAAACCTAGCCCTAACCGTAACATTAACCCTAGACCGTAACCCTAACCCTAACCCTAACACTAACCCTAACCCTAACACTAACCCTAACCCTAGCCCTAACACTAACCCTAACCCTAACCCTAAACCTAATCCTAACCATAATCTAAACCTAAACCTATCCCTAATCCTAAAACTAACCCTAAACCCTAACCCTAAACCTAACCCTAACCCTAACCCTAACCCTATTCCTTACTCTAAAATTAAACCTAATCCTAACCCTAACATTAGGCCCTAACCCTAACACTAAACCTTACCATGATGGCGCCCTAAAACTAGCCCTAATCCTAACCCTAAACCTAACCCAAATTCTAAATTTACACTAGGATTTAACCCTAACTCTAACCTTAACCCATACCATAATGGTGCCCTAATCCTATCCCTAACCCTAACCCTATCCCTAACACTAAAGCTAACCCTAACCCTAACTCTAATCCTAACACTAACCATAACCCTAACCCCTAACCCTAAACCTAACACTAACCCTAACCATATACCATAACCCTAACCCATAACCCTAACCCTAACTCTAACCCTAACCCTAACCCTAATCCCTAACCCTAACCCTAATCCTAACCCTAACCCTAATCCCTAACCCTAACCCTAAACCTTAACCCTAACGCTAACCCTAACCCTAACCCTAAACCCTAACCCTAACACTAAACCTAATCCCTAACCCTAACCCTAACCCCTAACCCTAACCCTAACCCTAATCCTAACCCTAATCATAGGCCCTAATGGTGACCTAAACCTAAACCTAACCCTAACCTTAACCTTACCCCTAACCCTAACCCTAATTGTGACCTAACCCTACCCCAAACCCTAATTACGCCCTAACCCTAACCCTAATTGTGCCATAAACCTACCCCTAAATCTAACCCTAACCCTAAACCTCAGTGCCCTAATCCTAACCCTAACCTTAACACTAATCCTAACCCTAACCCTAATTGTGCCCTAGTACTAAACCTAAACCTAACCCTTACCTCAACCCTAACCCGAATGACGCCCTAACCCTAAACATAACCCTAACTCTAAACCTTACCTTCACTCTAAACCAACCCTAGGCCTAACCCTAATTTAGACCTAACCCTAACCCTAATTGTGCCCTAACCCTAACCCTAGCCCTAATGACACCCTAACCCTAACCCTAAACCTAACCATTCCCCTAACCTTAACCCTAAACATAATGGCACTGTAATCCTAACCCTAACCCTAAACCTAATCCTAACCCTAAACCTAATTGTGCACTGACCCTAAACATAACCCTAACCCTAGGCCTAAACCTAACCCTAACCTACCCTAACCATAATGGTGCCCTAATCCTATCCCTAACCCTAACCCAAAACATAAACATAATTGTGCAGTAACCCTAACCCTAACGGCGCCCTAACCCTAACCCGACCGTTCACTCTAACCTTAACCCTAGGCCCTAACCCTAACACTAATTCTGCCATAACCCTAACCATAATGACACCCTAAACCGATCCCTAAGACTTCGCCTAACCCTAGCTCTAAAACTAACCCTTACCATAATGGCACCCTAAACCTAACCCTAGGCACTAACCCTAACACTAAACCTAATTGCTCCCTAATCCTAACCCTAACCATAACCCTAATCCTAACCCTAATGTCACCCTAATGCTAACCCTAATCTTAACCCTAACCGTAGGCCCTAACCTTAACTCTAACCCTAAACCTTACCATAATGGTGCCCTAATCCTAACCCTAAAACTAATCCTAACACTAACTGCGCCTAAACCTAACCATAATCTTAACCCTAACCGAGCCCTAACCCTAAACCTAAACTTAATGCTAACCCTAATGACACCCTAACCCTAAGATTTACCCTAATCCTAACCTTAACCTTAGGCCCTAGCCCTAACCCTAACCCAAACCCAAACCTTAATGAGGCCCCAGTCATTATGATAACCCTAACCCTAATGACTCCGTAACCGTAACTGTATACTGTAACCCTAACCCGAACGGCACCCTAACCCTAAACCTAATCCTAACTCTAAACCTAACCCTATCCGTAACCCTAAACCTAATGGTGCCCTAACCCTCAACCCTAACCCTAACCCCAACCCTAGAACCTAACCATAACCCTAACCATAACCCTAACGCTAATGGCACCTTAACCCTAACTCGAACCCTAATGGTGCTGTAACCCTAACCCTAAACCTAAACCTAACCCTAGGCCGTAACCCAAATTCTAACCCTAACCCTAATGCTAATGGCACCCTAACCCGAACCCTAACCGTAAACCTAACCCTAACCCTAATGGTGCCCTAACCATAACACTAACCCTAACCCCAATAGTTACCTAACCTTAATCTAACCCTAACCCTAACGGTGCCCTAACCCTAAGCCTAATGCTGCACTAACCGTAACCCTAACCTTAGTCATGCCCTAATCATAATCCTAACCCTAACAGCACCCTAACCCTAAACCTAATCCTAACCCTAATGGCGTCCTAACCCTAACCCTAATCCCTAACCCTAGCCCTAACCCCAAACCATAATCCTAATCCTAACCCCAATCCTAACCCCTAACCCTTACCCTAACCCCTAGCCCTAACCCTAATGGTGCTAACCCTAACCCTAAATCTAATGGCCATAACCCTAACCCTAACGACCCTAACCCTAAACCCTAACACTAACCCTAATACTAACCCTAACTCTAACCCTAAACCTAACCCTAATGACACTAACCCTAACCCTATTGACCCTAACCCCTAACCCTAACCCTAACGGCCCTAACCCTAACGGCCCTAACCCCTAACCCTAACCCAACCCTAACCCTAGAGAGCAGGAAAACTTGGAGGTCAAAAGGGGTGTAAGACCAAAATATGTGGGAGGCCGCAGGAATGTAGACCTTAGAATAAAGGGGAGTGGGAACAGTTTGGGGGTGGACTGTTTCAGCGGGACTGTTTGGGGGCCTAACTATTTCAGGGGAGATCGTTTCAGGGGGAAGTTGTATGGGAGGGTCTATTTCAGCAGAACTATTTGGGGACTCTTTCAGGGGAGTATTTTGGAGGCAGTATTTCGGTGGGAGAATTTCAGAGGGATATTTTAGGGACGACTATTTCATGGGGGAGTATTTTAAGGGTGGAGCATTACAGGGGGGGTTATTTCCAGGGGGACTCTTTCAAGGGATCTATTGCTGAGGGAGTGTTTCACTGGAGAGCATTTGAGGGGAGACTATTCTAGGAGAGAGGACTTGGGGAGGAACGTTTCTGGGGGGAACATTTTGGGGGGGGAGTACTGT